TAAAGGACTTTTCAGACTCGCTCCGACATGGGAACATGAGCACAATGAGAGAGAAAGCCAAGTCACCTCGAGGAGTGGTCATCTGTGGTCTGTGGTCTATTATTGCAGGCTCTTGCTTGGAAGGGCTTTCTCCCATCTGGTTTTGCTAAACACTGGGGCTATGTCTAGACTATGTAGAATTTTCAAAAGAGGACATGCAAATTCCGATCTCACTCTCAAAAGAGGATCTTTCGAAAGTGAAAGTAGTCTGGGTGTGGGGGTTTTTTGGGGAAAAAAACCCGTTTTTGAAAAAAACACTCTTCCTTAAAAAGGAGGTTTTTTTCGAAAAAGGGTTTTTTTCCCGGAAAAAACCTCGTCCAGACTACTTTCACTTTCGAAAGATCCTCTTTCGAAAGTGAGATCAGAAGAAGATATGCAAATTCTGCGGGAATTTGCATATCCTATTTCAAAAAAAAACCCCAGTAAGTTTAGATGTGCCCTAAGCCTGGTCTTTCAGGAAAGTCATCCTGTATGTATTACCGCATTATCCGCTGTCCAAAAAGTGATGTGGCACCACAAATTCAGTATACACACTAGATGAAATGGGATGGGGGGGTCCTGCAAGCTTCAGTTATTAGCAATGTTGGTGTGGCCAGCAGCGAAAGAAAAGGCCTGCCACTCTCACCATTAAGGAGATAGTTAGGCGACGCGTTGTATTGATTTTCTAATAATACTTGAGACCATTAAAACAGAGCAAATTAAACCCCTTTGATTTGCTTTTTACTCTTTATGTTGTTGGCTTGTTCATTGCATTCTCCTCAGCCGTGAAAATCACAAGGGAATACAAAACAGAGCAAATTAAACCCCTTTGATTTGCTTTTTACTCTTTATGTTGTTGGCTTGTTCATTGCATTCTCCTCAGCCGTGAAAATCTCGCGTAGCCTGGGTCACGGTCGGGTTCTCCTGCACCGGCGTAGGGCTGCAGGGGTCAGACTGAAGGCATCACAAGGGAATACGGGTATTGTTTAAACGATGTTAAAACATCTTTTTGGCTGTGTCTAGACTGGCAAGTTTTTCCAGAAAATCAGCCGCTTTTCCGGAAAAACTTGCCAGCTGTCTACACTGGCCGCTTGAATTTCCAGAAAAGCACTGACGATCTCATGTAAGATTGTCAGTGCTTTTCCGGAAATACTATGCTGCTCCCGTTCGGGCAAAAGTCTTTTTCCGAAAGACTTTGCGCAAAAGGGCCAGTGTAGACAGCATAGTACTGTTTTCCGCAAAAAAGCCCCGATCGTGAAAATGGCCATCGGGGCTTTTTTGCGGAAAAGCATCCTGCCAATCTAGACGCGCTTTTCTGAAAATGCTTTTAACGGAAAAGTTTTCCATGAAAAGCATTTTCGGAAAATCATGCCAGTGTAGACGTAGCCTTCATGTTTTTTAAATGCCGTGGAATCTTCACAACTGGTCTAAATTGTGTAACCGCTTCTGTTCACAGATCTTACCGTGGCGTCAAGTTTGACTTGGCAAGAATGCCTTTTAGGACTGCCCCCTGCTAGTTGGACAAGTTTTCCCCTAATCTGAATATGCCCCTTTATTGTGCCTATTTTTTAACCTCTATTCAAATGGCTGTGGAATGCGATCTGGGAAGAACGTTTCCAGGCAAAAGTATGCAACCCAGGGCTGGTGTGAGCTTGTTTAATTGTACAAATATGAAACCTTTTACACCAAATTCAGTGCCCAAAACAATAGTCCTCCGGTCCCCAGGGTGCGTGATTAAGGATCTTATGTCAAGAAGTGCTGAGGCTAAAGTGAAACACGCATCCCTAATTGTGCACCCTCACGTGCATGGGTTGTGATCGTATGGACGTCAGAGCTGCCGTAGGGTTTGCCATTGCAGATCAGAGCAGGTCTAACTAGCTGAATGTCTAACGGGGGAAGCTGCCGTAGGGTTTGCCATTGCAGATTAGAGCAGGTCTAACTAGCTGAATGTCTGACGGGGGCCAATGCCAGATGCTTCAGAGGAAGGGCGCTGATGGAGTATCTTGACGGTGGAGAAAGTTTATGCCCATTCCTCATGGCAGGAGGGTCCGCCCTAGGCATGCCTGCCCTTCCCCCAAACGTTCCACTGGTTCTTTCACCGGTTCCGCTCTGACCAGTGCTAGCAGTGGTGAGAGGCAAGCATGAGTGTAGACCTTTGATTTCAGCTTCAACACCAGCACGGGACGGGAGGAGGCAGATGGACCAGAGCACCAGAAACCTGCTCTCTGCTGGGCTTGCCTGGATTTTATTCACCGTCATGTGTCTAGTTCTGACTAATAAAAAAATGTGATGGGTGGGGGCAGATTTTCACGTCAGCCAGAGAACTCTGGGCATGTTAGAAAGTCTAAAAAGTCCTTATGAAAATAGCACTTTCCCTGAGGTTGATTCTGTGTGTTTTTTAAGACTGTGTGTGACGGGTGGATTAGGCCCACACCCCGAAGCTGCAGGCTGGAGGCGTTGCTGCAACCCACTCCGGGGAGAAGAGCAGAAAAGAGGTCCTCCTGGCAGACTAGAGTGGCTGCTTTTCCGGCAGCCAATCAGGGCCCAGCAAGAGGTTATAAAAGAAGCTGCTGGACGGACCAGGGCCTGGCAGTTCCTCACTGGAGCGCAACCCAGCCAGACCTAGGAATTGACGGGGAAGGACAGCGGCACCTTGGGCAGCTCCGGGTGCGAGCTGGACTTCAGAGCTGATTGCAACCCAGGCCCAGCAGCTGAGTACCAGCCAGGATAGACTACGAATAAGTAGCAGAATCCGGGACAGGGTGTGGGGCGAACTTGACTGTCAGCGAGAGGGCCGGACAGAGCAGCTTCCTGGGGAAGTGGCCCAGGGGGCAAGGTAGCAGTGGACAGCAGAGATACTTAGCAGGCAACTGCTGCTTACAGGGTCCCTGGGCCGGGACCCAGAGGAGTGGTCAGGCCTGGGTCCCCCCTAGTCCTCCAACAGCTCCAAAAAGGGGGGTACGAAGAAGCCTGGTCCCAAGCAGCCAACCAGGAGAGCCATTAGGGACACCGAGCCAGTTGGGTGGAGAAGTTGGGGACACGCCCTCGGCTCCAAAGGGGCGCTAGTGAGAGGGTGAACCCCTTTGCACTATGGGATTACTGATTTTCACACCCGCGTCCTAGGCGCCATTCCGTTTGCGGCCAATCTTAGCCCGAACCCCTCCCATTGACTTCAACCTAGTCCCGAGCGCTCCTCCCGCATTGCAGCTGCAACGAGGTACCGATGGCGTCCGACGTTTGCGACGTTTTCTTTCCTTTCCGGCACGCGGCCTTCTGTCCGGCACTGGTAGGGGCTGCCGGTGACCTTGAGTGGGGAATTTTCCAGCAGGGAGAGCCTTACAAGAACCAATTAGCACCGGCAAGGTCTCGGTGATTACTCGTGAGCCTCCTATCTGGAGGAGCGGCGCGCGGCACTCCAATTGAACTGCGGGGATGGGGCTAATGGAATTTCATGCTAGACTGAGCCTTGGGCATGCTCTGCAGCGTGGCGCATTGCTAAAAATTAAAACGGAATAAATTGGGAGATGGCTCTGACTGATTCTGGTTCAGTACGTTCGACAGCGCTGGAGCCAGGAGGAGGCACCGAGCCAGCGATGAGCAGCGGGGCTTAAAAATGTCCTTTGCAGGGCTTCTTAATAAGCAGCTGGGATCCGACCGGCCTGCGTGATGGCGGGGGGGAGGGTCTGTTCTAGGAAGGTAGTATTAAAACGGAATAAATTGGGAGATGGCTCTGACTGATTCTGGTTCAGTACGTTCGACAGCGCTGGAGCCAGGAGGAGGCACCGAGCCAGCGATGAGCAGCGGGGCTTAAAAATGTCCTTTGCAGGGCTTCTTAATAAGCAGCTGGGATCCGACCGGCCTGCGTGATGGCGGGGGGGAGGGTCTGTTCTAGGAAGGTAGTGCGGTCTCCTGCACACGGCTGGAGAGAGGCGCCCGGGTCTCGTCCAGCACAGATGTGACTCAAGGCTGAGCTGGCTACACGTTTGTATTGAACAGCCCTTTGCCCATCAGGGCCGGTGCACACGGCTTGCCTTTGTCAAAGAAGCAGATCAGCTAAGCCCATGTGGTTTGGTTTTTTTATTCCCTAGTAGGCTATGTCTACACTCCAGGGTTTTTGCGCAAAAACGGGCGGAGCGTCCACACCTCAAGCGTGTTTTTGCAGAAAAAAAATAAATTGACAGGAGAGAGGGCTTTTGCCGGTAGAGTGATTCCTTTCCCCACGAGGAAAAACTCCTTCTTGCGCTACAGCTCTTGCGCAAAAAGGCAGGTGTGGACGCTGCGCAGGGCTTCTTGCGCAAAAAGAGCCTATCCGAAAAAGTACAGATGCTTTTCAAAGAATGGCCATCAGAGCTTTCTTGCACAGGAGTGTCCATGCAGTGTGCTTTTGAGGTCTGGACGCGCTTTTGCACAAGAAATTTTTGCGGAAGATCTCTTCTACAAAAAGCTTTTTTGCACAAAAACCCTGCAGTGTAGACAAAGCCTAGATGTTCGCAAATGTCTGGTGTTATTACTGGGCATTTCCTCGTGCGTCTGAGGGCAAGAACAGACCTAGGTCGTTTGGTTCTCCCCACCCCCACCCCCACCCCGGCGTGCTTGGAGATGAATTGTCGAGAGGCCCAGTTCTAAGGGAAGGCCTGTCCGGGGGGAATGGTGGAACAAAGGCATTTTAAGAGAGACGGAAGAAGCGGAACATCTGCCCTGTAGTGTCCCTGGGGGAGAGATCGAGGTGGAATGTTTCTCATTAAGTTTCGGGCACCTTCCCCAGTCGAGTTCGATTTCCCCGTGTCCCGAAGGCTGCAGGAGAGGAGGGAGGTGGCTAGGAGCTACCTGGGAGCTCACAGTGGAAGGATGCCTTCCAAAGAGATTGGTTTGAAACCAGTGCGTGCCTAGAAATAATCCCTGTGACGTACATTCGCCCGTGAAAATCGGTCTGCCTCGCCGTTTCACTTGATTTCTCCCTCTCCCCCCTCTTCTCCTTCCAGAGAGCCAGGATCGGGCCGGGCGCCAAGGCGGCCGAGGAGCGGACGATGAACGCCATTTCTAAATTTGACAACAACGGGAACCGAGACCGGATGAAGCTGTCGGATTTTAATTTCCTCATGGTGCTGGGGAAAGGCAGCTTTGGCAAGGTGCGGTGGGAGGCGGCCCACGGCTGCGTCCAGCCGGGAATGACGGCGGGGAGCGCTGGACACGCCTGCGCTCCCTTCTCGCTGGATGGCAGGCCTCGGGAGGGGGGTTGGCAGCCGCACGGAGCTCGGGGAGCACAGCTCGTGGCAAGGCTCTGCAGTCAGATCGCCAGGGCGGAGGAGAACGGGCCCGGCCAAAACCTGCCGAATCAGCAGGGATTCTTCTCCCTCTCGTGTGCCGCGCTGGGTGGAACCGGCCCCTTGGAAACGTCGGCTCCTGCCTTTGAAGGGGACCGTGCCCAAACCAGCAAAGTACTTCTTGCTCTCTCAGGGGTGACTGACCAATCCCCCCCCCCCAAGCGGGGCCGTAGGGCCGGGTTTGCGATAGGACCCTACCTGTAAGAAATGGTCAGTATGGGGCAGAGGGGGGGCTCAGGGCAGGGTGTTGGGCTGTGTGAGAGTGGGGAGCGGCTCAGGGGGGGGGTGGGGATGTGGGGGTGTAGGAAAGTCAGGGCAGGGGGTTTGAGGAGGGGCTCAGAGCAAAGGGTTGGGGGTGCAGGAATCCAAGTAGACTGTTCCTCCACCTCCGTATAAACCTCTTGGCTGAGGCTGGGATCAAACCGGTGTCCTGCAGGATTCACCCGGTATTTCCCCTCCTGTTCTCACCCTAATGGGGAAGGGCTCTGTCCGGGCTAGCGCAGCTCGCTGGGAGCCCTGAGCTCTGCTCCTGCTTGGGCACCGACTCGCCCTCAAAGGCGCCACAGCCTCTGCTGTGCTATCTGGAGATGGAAGTGCGCCGCAGAGTAACTCATGTTGGGAGGGGGGGTTACCGCGTCGCTCTCCCTCCACCCTTCGACCCCCTCAAACCCTCCAGCGCGCCGCAAAGCCCTGGTCTGCCCCAGGGAGTTCTTTCGAAATAGCAAGCGGGCATCCCCACGCTCACTCCCGTTATTTCAACTAAGGGGCCGGTGAGTTCGAAATCGGCGCTCCTGTTTTCCGCGGGGAAGAAGCTTAGTTGGAAGTAGCAGTGGCGTGTCCCACGGCCGCTGCCGTTTCTAAATAACGACTCCCCAGAGTCACTCGAGGTCATTACTCCCCAGCGCCGCCTGGGGCTAAAGGCGAGGAAGCGTGTCCACATTCCCGGAGCCTGCCTCGGTCTCCTTTTGAGGCTCCCCTGTAGCGGGGACGGGCTAGTTCGGTTTTGTGACTCTGGGAGTTATTGAATCGATATTGGTTATTTTGAGAGAATTTGCTAGTGTAGACGTGTCCCAAATGACAGCTCTGGAGTTGGGTGTTCTGGGCAGTACGGCTAATAGCAGCGAAGATGCATGCAGGGTTGTGCTGCTGCTTTGGCTTTAAACAGCCCCCCCATAACAAGCTCTGGGCCCCCCAGCAATGAATTAGTGCCTGCCCAGCGGTATGAAATAATCGCCTGCAGATTAACGTGGACAGTCAATCCGTCGAAATCTCTCCCACACCCTGGAACAGTGGAACACGTCTCCACCTGTCCCGTGGACCCCGTCCACTCGATACGAAATGCAGACACCGAACTGCGCTCCGCCAGCTGGGCCATCTAAAAAACGCCTTCTCTTGCCTGGTCGGAGACCCAAGCAAACGGCAGTTCCAAACAACAGCCCTAGAGCCTTGCCAATGAAAACTAGCCGCTGCGTTTGCCCACCCCCTTCCCAAAAGTCAGCGCTTCGTCTCCTGCGCTGGCATCTGGGAATTTGGGAGGGTTTTCTTCCTCCTCTTCTCTTTATTTTGAGAAATGTTCGCAAGCCCCTCCGTTGGAATGGTGGCTTATGTAAAGGAATGCGACAGCAACTGTGCCTAGGAACAGACTGTTATAAATATGCTAATTAGAGCTTGTTAAAACAGAACATTGGGCTGTGCAATTAGCTCCTGCCCGGCTCTCGGGGCTCCTGCCACTTGTTAGTCTCCTCTCATCCCTCCTTCCCCTTTGTTCCTCTGCCACCCAGGCCTCCTGCTGCACGCGTCTCTGCCCGAGGAGAAGCGTGGAAACTGCTGCAGAGGCTCCAAGGCCTTTACGGGGCTGGTGAAGAGAGAGTCGTTTCCTATTATGTATTTTCCACTGGGATGGAGCCGTTGGACAGTCCAGAATTAACCCTGGAGATCATGACAGCCAACCCGTCCCGGCTGCTTGCTAGCCAGTGAGGTGGGCATGTTGGCAGGGACGGACGGGGGCCAAGTCGACACCGGCACGTTCCTGAGCTGCAAATCGGCCCCGGTGCCATATCTTTCATGGTGTCCATGCTGGCTGGGCGTGTGTGCGCTCTGGACACAGCGCTGGGGGCTGGTGTGGCCTGGCTGGCCTCCGGCAACCATGCCCGTCTGGCCTCTCTGGTCAGCGTTTGAACTCTTCTGCCCTGCTGTCCAGTGCCCAACCCGCAAACCCGCCCCGGGTTCTTTCTGAAATGGGAAAGTCCCCTGCTTGCTCGGCGCCGCACGGGGTGTTCCGGGGGCCTCTCTCCAGCCGGCCACGCCTGCTCCACGCCCCACGAGATCCCAGCTGGGAGCCGTGCCATGGGGCTGGACCTCAGCCACGCTTGGGGAGAGGAGGCCGCTGTCCAGCCGTTGGAATTCCAATCTCTACGTCTCGAGATGGGTCCAAGGTGGCATCAGCACAAAACAATCATTTTCCCCACAATGGGCCCTCGTTTCCTGAGCGACGTCCAGGCTCCATCGCTTGTTCCCCGGAGCTGCCCGGGGCGCGTGTCGCGATGGCCGAGCTCTGCGGTGCAGATCTGAGAAACACATCCCGTCCTGGCCATGTGCCGCCCCGTCCACCCATCCTTTGTAGCCGTCCCCGTAGCCTCCGCCCACGGCCTGGAACGGCCGCTCACGCTTTCTAGCTCCATCTTTCGCAGTGCAGGGTCAACCTCCGATCCAGCCTTGGTTTTTAAAACAGCCGGTCGGAGCTGTTTGAGTTTCTTTGAACTTCTTCTAGTGAATCCTTGTCTGGCTAATAAGCCTGGTAGCTCCTTGGGACCCGGCGCCAGCCGCTACTGCTTAGTATTCTGCTCACTCGCAGGCTGTGCCTGGCAGGCATCTGGAAACCCTAGATATTGGCCTCGGTGGAGTTTAACAAACCTGTTCTCGCCTCATCCCGCCTTGGACGGCCTCCAGCTGTGAGGCTGGAACCCTCCCAAGCCCATCCAGTATATTACAGGAATAAATCAAGTTAAATATCAGCCTCCCGTGTGCCAGCAAGGGAGCTGCAGTCCCTCTTCCCGAGAGCGCCTGCCGGGGCGGAGCCATTGCAGAGACTGGCGCGAGGCTCTGCATGGAACAGGTCTCCGCTGGTTTTGTTACTCGCGGGGAGCCTCCCATTTCGTGGAGAGGGGGGTTGGTCTCCACTTTTAACGGGACCCCGGCTGAAATGGGCTTAGCAAGAACTTCAGGCCACCCACAGGCAGCGGGTATCATAGGCAGGGGGAGGCGTTGCCTTCCCAAACCGCCAGCCTGCCCCGCCCACAGAGCGCCTGCTGTTGGCATACTGGGGGCGGAGTGTTGCTGCCCCCAGCACCCACCCTCCTTATGCTCCGGGGCCGGGGAGACTAGGGCCGCGTGCTGCCCACCCTCCCCGTGGTGCTGGGGGGCAGCTGGTGCTGTGTGCTGCCCCATCTCCCCATAGTGCTGAGGGCAGGGCCTGGGCAGAAGGGCTGGGGCTGGGGGCTTGCTCCCCCACTCCTACCTTCACCCACTGCCCAGGAGGGCACCCCTCGCTAAATCCAGGCATCTTGGCCCATTCCTGGGCTGGGCCCAGACCCACGCGCTCCCCCCAGGCTGTGCTGGTACCCAGGACCAGGGCAGACCCAAGCAGCTACCCATTCTAGCATGTCTCCTTGAGCTTGGGCCAGTGGCGGGGAGATGGGACCCATAATTCCCTGGGCCCATTTTCCACTGGCCGGTGTCATGTTGGCAAAGGCCTGCTCCGGTCTCCCCAAACTATGGGGAGCTAAAGGTAAACTGAGGCAGCTCGTTCGTATTTTGCAGCTCCCCAGCCTGTCACCCTCGGGAGCAGGAGTTTTATGCTCCTCTGAGTGTTTGGCTGCTGCCGCTTGGTGGGCTGGCAGGACCCCAGAGCTGGGCCGACTTACTCTTCTGCAGGTCTGGGGTTGATTGCTTCCCTGGCGTGGGGCGGGGCCTTCGTTTCGAATCCATCGCCCTGTGGTGCACAGCGGCCGCAGGCTGCTCCTGGGCGGGGGGCGCCGCAGGGGTTTCCGCTCCGGTGGCTGTAGGGCTTGAGTTGCTGTGGGTGCCGCTAGCGCGACGCAGGCGAGTGTAGCTACATCTGCAGGCTCCTCCATGGGCTGATTTCCCCAGGCCTTTCGCCAGCAGTCGGGAGAGGACCTTCCCAGACCCTCTGTGCAATGTGGCCGGCCTGAATCCAGAGTGGCTCCACTGACCGAAGGGGGGGTTTCCGCTCCGGTGGCTGTAGGGCTTGAGTTGCTGTGGGTGCCGCTAGCGCGACGCAGGCGAGTGTAGCTACATCTGCAGGCTCCTCCATGGGCTGATTTCCCCAGGCCTTTCGCCAGCAGTCGGGAGAGGACCTTCCCAGACCCTCTGTGCAATGTGGCCGGCCTGAATCCAGAGTGGCTCCACTGACCGAAGGGGAATAAATCCACATTTGCGCTTGGGTGACCCCACGTGCCCGTCAGCCCGGATGTCCCCCCCAAGCCTCCTAGCATCCGCGCCGTGTGCGCCCCCTGATTTCTCAGGCAGCGGCAGAGGAGAAACTCGGCTCCTCTCCCCAGTGAGGTGGCGCTGCCTGGCTCGTGGTCTCGGTGCCGGCTCCCCAAGAGACACTCCGCCGCTTTCCGCCTGGGCACGCCATTGGAGAGCCACGGACTCCACTAGCCGCAGCCCAAGTTAACTCCGGGGCAGCTTCTTCCCATGGAGTTGTGTGCGCCGGGAACCTGTCGCCTCTCAGCCCATCGCAGACACACAACACTGAGGTGGCCACCGCTGGGCCCTCCAGCTTGCGGAGGCGGGGGGTTCAAACTTGGGGGGCAGGCTAAGCAGAGGCTGAATCCACCATCCTGAGCCCTGCGCTCCCGTGGCGTTTTATCTTGAAATGCAATCAGGGTTGGTGTTTGTCGCTCGGGGATAACGTCCCCGTGTGTGCATCCCTCGGTGAGCGCTCTTCCCCACAGAGGCGAACACGCTTTCCCGCAGGCTTCCAGGCACAGAATGGTTTGAAAAAAGCAGCCAGACACTCTCCCAGCTTGGTAACGCCCCAGGAGTCCTCTGCTTGCTGCTGGGGCCACGCCAGGAGCCCCGTCGCGGCCTGACCGCTGAGACGCCAGGTGTGGAGATGGCCTTTCACAAAGGGGTGGCCTGACCCTTCCTGGTGGGAACCGCGCGGGTTAGCGCTCGCTGGCTTCCAGATAATCTCTCCTCTTCAGCTGGCTTTCGGGAGCCCAAGCCCAGATGAATGAGAACTCCACTCTGTCGATGAAAACCCAGTGGGGGTGCCTTGTAAGCCTGACGTGACAACAGGAAAACGTTCAGGGGAAACGTCACCGATCGGTGAAAACTGTTCCTCGGGCGGGGTGGACTTGTCGCGCGGGCACCGGATGAAGCGGTAACGCGATCGTGACGGCGCGCTGCTGTCGCCCTGGCCGCGGTCAGAGCACTTCCCGTTCAGTCCCCAGCTGGTAGAACGGTCCCAGTCGTGTAGATGGGGAGCCTGAGACGCAGAGGGGGAGAAGGCTTGTGGAAGTCCTGCAGCCAGCTGGCAGGACAGCTCTGCCTGAAGGCACCGAGGTTGCGGCTTATGGCACCTTGCTAAGGTGGTCTTGGGCCAACAGCTTCTGCTTCATTAAGAAGACAAGCTCAGCTCCTCACCCTGTGAAGCGATGGCCGCCTGGCATGCCGAGCAGCAGTGTCTGCCCGAGTTTGCCAAGAGCCCTGAACTTGGCCTGTGCCCAGACAGTGGTAACACCCTAACCATTCCCTCTGACTCCTGTTGGACACCTGACGCCACTCGGGAGCAGGCTGTCAAGGGAAAGTCCCTCTGAGGCTGCCAAGCAATGGCTGTAAAGATACTAGAGGCTGAAAATCCCAGGGCTGGCAGACACCTCAGGAGTCATCGAGTCCAGCCCCCTGCCCAAGGCAGGACCAACCCAACTCAATCATCCCAGCCAGGATGTTGTCAAACCAGGACTTAAACACCTCTAGGGATGGAGATTCCAACTGCCCCCCCCCCCCCCAGGGAACCCATCCCAGCGCTTCTCCACCCGCCTAAGGAAATCATTTTTCCTAATCTCCAACCTAGACCTCCCCCTGCAATGTGAGCCCATTGCTCCTCGTTCTGCCCCCACTGAGACCAGCCTCTCTCCATCCTCTCTGGACCCCCCCTGCAGGGAGTTGCAGGCTGCTCTCAAATCCCCCCTCGCTCTTCGCTTCTGCAGACTAAACAGACCCAAGTCCCTCAGCCTCTCCTCATAGGTCATGTGCTCCAGTCTCCGGACACTTCCCTGAACCCTCTCCAATGTGTCCACACCCTTTCTGTAGCATTGTCCCTCGTAAGAAAGGGCACCTGCTGGTTGTCTTCTCCATGTTCTTGGCCTCCTGGCCCAATGAGTGCCTGTCTCCGTACACCCCTGACTGTCCGGCTGCTGAGGGTATTTGAACTTCAGTGTGAAAACTGGGGTCTCACGGCCACACACGCGCTGTCTGGCCAAGCACTGAGGTTCGTCCTTAGTTGAAAGCGCAGACCTGTTGATGTGACGCCGGCTGATGAGGTGGGACCAGCGCTGGGTCCGGCCAGGTGCCTGCAGCCATTGCTCGGTCAGGAGACCGAACCGTGGTCATCTGGTCAGAGCATGCAACACTGCGGTTCATGTCCCAGCTGGGGTGAAGCCGTCTGCCCCAGTGCCACGCTTCCCCTATTAGCCTGCCCCGTGGGGAGCAGTGGGGCGCTGGATGGACCAGCCAGGTGGTGGAGTTACAGTAGCTAATCGGAGTAATCAGGATCGGCCTCCCCAGCCACGATTCTCATTTTAATGGGCAAATATTTGCCAAACCGCTTGACCGATGCTCCGTTGTCAGGGTTTTATCCATTAATCCTAGACGCCCAGTCTGCTCTGTTAGGCTTATTTGCATTGAAAACGGCGCACCAATGGAAATAGTCTGGATTTATGCCGCTGTCACGCAGCAGAATTCGACCCCGTGGATCCTCCTTAACCCCACCGTCAAACAAAGATATTGCCACTGGGTTTCATCTGCTTCCTGGGACTCTCCCTCGTGGGGCACCAGCCCTGCTTCCCCTTGGAGAACACTTGCTCTGAGTCCATGCCTGAGCCCCTTAAAGAGCACTGACTTGCTGTGGCTAGCCCAGAACCAGACACTCACCGGGTACCGGTCGCCGGCTCCAGAGAGACAATCCCCGCCGGCCCCTTGGCTCAGCCGAGGAGTCGCACTGGAATATATTGTCCTGAGAGGAATGTAGAGTAAAGCCAAGCGCAAGCTTATTAGTAAAGAATAGGGATTCAAGTGATGCTAAGGGAGGCCAATAGGAACAGAAAATGGTTCTAACTAAAACGCAAGGCTGCCTGCTAAACGCAACAGGCTAAAACTGCCTCGGACAAGGGTTGCTCACCAAAAGCCTCCTCTGGGCCCTCCAGCCCGGATAAATCTTTTGTGACTGTTAAAAAGTGCTGCTCTTTTCTAGCTCCTGCAGGGTTTGTGTTCCCTCTTTTTATAATCCGATACATCTATGAAATATATCTTAGGAAATGCACCCCTAGAAAATGTTCATCTCCCTCCATGTCTGTCTGTTCTTCAGGACACACACCTCATGCTGTTCTCCTCCTGCTGCTGTTAATTTGCTCTGCTTGCTGACTCAATATGCAAATGTAATCCCCAGTGTTTGTGGCAAACCCTGCTCTGTTTACTTGTGAGGATGGGGTAGACAGCTTTATCTTTATCAACCTTGCCTGGTTTAAACATATTTTCAGGATACACATGCAGCTTCTTAATTGTTATACATACAGCCATCATGCAAGGATCATGATGATCAGCATGTTATGAGTTTTCATTTGATACCTTACACCGTATTTCTTGTAGATAAATCCCATGGCAGCAATGCGTTAGGTGTGGTGAGTTGCTTAGGCCAAGTAGGAAGTGCTGTGATAGATAATGGACCCTCTGCTGGTGCATTGTGGTTCTCTTATGGTCAATCTTCTATCGCCCAAACATCAGTATTTTTGCTGGAATTCCGTTTTCTTGCCTTTCAAAAATCCACGAGGTGCTGCCTCACCATTTTTTTGCAACTCTGCGATGGTACTAAATTATTTCTGTTCCACTCTATGGCTGTTCATTTCCCCTAATTTATTTTCAAAACATCCTAGCGTATGTTCTCAGTGTGACTAAGGATTTTAATAGTCTCTTTTAAATGTAAAGTAATTCCGTTCCACTGCAGATTTGAATTTAACACAACGAGAAGGAGAGAAAATGGGAAGCAAAATGTGGCTGCTGTTGAGCGGTGTTTGTTTCGGAAGCAGTCCCATGCCAAATTGAAGCAATGTATTTTAATAATCGGTGGGGTGTCGGCTGGATTTTCAGGAGGCCTCGATTGGGTTGATTTGATTAATGAGACAAAAATCACACTAGCAGGAGACTGCGGCCTTGTTTATTATAATAAATAAATCTGCAGATTGACACAACGGGCTTTAAAATATTAGGTGAGCAAATTAGGCTGCATGAAGCAAAGCAGTTGCTGAGTGATGGGTCGGCTGAATAATTGTGTTTGCAGTTTACCCTGGGGATATGAAGAGCGCCGTCTTTCATTCACTGCCAAGCAAAGTGGAAGAACATTGAGGAGAGTTGCATAACTTTTTACTGCTGTGGTATTTGATGGGGACTGAATCAGAGCTCGTCCACTTGGGCTGCTTCCGTTCCGAGAGCCCCAAATATGGATGGGCACTGAAAGAAGCAGCCTTAGTCTTGCGGTTAAGTCCTGGACCGAGACTTGGATTTTTTCCTGACCTGGGTAAAGCACGTGGGGCCAGATGTTTAATGATACAGCTAGAACCTCTCTAGTCTGGCACTCTCTGGACCAGCATCATCCATGGTGCGGCACGATTGTAGTGAGCCGGATTCCCACTTGTCATGGGTGTGGCCACGTTTCTTGCAATCCCAAAAAGTTTACAGCCCCCAGTCCTGTCTCTCCATGTTCGGTGCTGTTATTTAGCTCTAATTTACCCCCAAATTTACCCCCAAATAGCCCAGCAAGCAGTGGAAGTGTAGGCAATGCTACGAGACAGTATTGACCTCCTGTGGTCTGGAAAATTCTCTGGTTCGGAACAGGTTGGGTCCCAACGGTGCCGGACTAGAGAGATTCAACCAGTGTTAGGCGCTTAAAGAAATGGCTTGATGCCTATTTGTATCTTTTGGGTGCAGAAATACCTTTGCAAATCTGACCCCTCGTGTCTCTGCACCCCAATTCCCCATTTGTGACACGAGGATTGAAGTACTCAACTACCTCGGTGGCTTTTTGGGAGGGGCGCTGTCCTGGAAGCCCCAGTAAAACAAAGGGCCCTCCAGGGGCTCGCCTGACTGCAGCAATGACAAGGTGGAAACGAGGGGTGCACGCGCCGTGTGAACCGTTCTCCCTTCCCCCCACAGGTCATGCTCTCGGAAAGGAAAGGCACGGACGAGCTCTACGCGGTGAAGATCCTGAAGAAGGACGTCGTTATTCAGGATGACGACGTGGAGTGCACGATGGTGGAGAAGCGGGTGCTGGCGCTAGCTGGGAAGCCCCCGTTCCTAACACAGCTTCACTCCTGCTTTCAGACAATGGTACGTGGCCGACCCTTCCCTTGCCACCTGCCTTGGGCAACGTGGCCCTCCGCGGAGCCGGGGGGACGTGGAGGTTTGTATCCGAAGCGCAAGTGAGGGGGGTGAGTTCCGGCCTGGAACGGCTGGGGGTGGCGGGAAGGAGGTGGCAGTCACTTCAGGTGGGAGGGGACACTAGAGACCAACCCCAGAGATACCTCGACCTCTCCAGAATCCAAGGAGTAGCCCTGCCCCTGCCCCCACCACGTTCTCTGCAGGCCCCCGGGACAGGGTCCAGAGAAGAGCAAAAGAAACGATTCAAGGTCTAGAAAACGAGCTGTGAGGGGAGACTGAAAGAACTGGGCTTGTTGAGTTTGGAAAGGAGAGGAGCGAGAGGGGACATGAGAGTGATTTTCAGGTGCCACAAAGAGAAGGTAGAAAAATTGTTCCCCTTGGCCTCCGAGGACAGGACAAGAAGCAAGGGGCTTAAACTGCAGCCAGGGAGGTTTAGGTTGGTGTGACGTAGTGGGGGTGCCTTGCTAGGGCTGTGGTGACCTCTGCTGTCTGTGACAGGAGTCATTATGCAAAGGGGGCTCCAAACCTGTCTGACCAGCTACCCCCCATGGGGAGGAACAAAGGAAGGTGGATGCCGCCCCTGGCTGGGGCATATGGGTGGTGCCACTGGGTGCACGGCGCATGGGCGCTGCTGGCTCTTGGGCGTGTGACACAGGCGCCGGCTCTGGGCATGCAGCGTATGGGCTGGAGGCTGGGGGGTTTAGAAGCCGGTCCCCCCACCCCATCTCAAGGGGGGCTGAGGCATCCTAGGCCTGCCCTGTAACCTGGTGACATCTGTGCTGTGCTGTATTCTGGAGGGCAATAAACTCCCTCTGTTCTACCGGCTGGTGGAGTCTGTTTGTGCCCTTTCAGGGGTGCAGGAGGCGGGGGACCCCAACGCGCCGTCACAGTTGGACATTAAGAAAAACTTCCTATCGGTCAGGGTGGTGAGACACTGGGATAAGTTGCCTAGGGAGGTTGTGGAATCTCCATCCCTGGAGATATTTCAGAGCAGGTTGGACGGACACCTGTCAGGGATGGGCTAGATCAGTGATCCTCAACGCAGCGCCCGCGGGTGCCATGGCGCCCACCGGGCCATTTCTGTGTGCCCGCTGAGTGATCCGGGTTGGCCCCGGGTGTGCAGCACATGATCAGTGCCGGACCCGGGCGCATGGCGGTTAGGCGGCCCCACCCCTGGGTGCACGGCGTAAGGTCTGTGCTGGCTTCGGGTGTGCGGCGTATGGGCAGTGGTGGCCCCGCCCCCAAGGGCACGGGACATGGGCTGTTCCGGCCCCGGGTGCGTGGCACATGGGCAGCCTCACCCCTGGGCGTGCAGCACAGTTTCGGCGCCAGCCCCGGGAGTGTGGCACATGGGTGGTGCCAGCTCTGGGCACACAGCGTATGGGTGGCCCCGCCCCCAGGCGCGTGCATGGCCCCGCCCCGGCCGCATGTGTGGCCCCGCCCCCAGATGCCTGGCGTGTGAGCAACCCCACCCCTGGCGCTTGGTAGCTCCAAAAGATTGGGGACAACTGATCTAGATGGTGTTTGTCCTGCCCTGGGGGCAGGGAGCTGGACCCCATGACCTCTCGAGTTCTAGTGTTCTAGGAGTCTCTGAATATCGAGACACTGCCGGGTGATTTGGAGCACGATAGACATGCCTGCAAATAAATAGAGTAACTGAATGTGGGGCCAGATTTTCAGCCCCTGGATCTAGACTGCGCTCTCTGCACCACCCGTGACTCATGGTAGCACTCGGTAGGTGCACACCCCCGGGCCTCCCCCAAAATCTCAATTGCTAAATGGGGTGCCCCCACATGCTCCTTCCTATTCTCCTGGGTGCCCCTTCCAACCTATGCTCTGAGTGCACAGATAACTGCCTAGAGAAGGGCTCAGCTGTTTTCCCCTTGCCAGCTTCAAAACTTCCATGCAGAGATGGCTGCCGCCACCCAATATATGTACTCCGGGGTACGTGTTCAAACAAGGAGCAAGCAGGCAGCCTGGCAAATTTAGCAGCCACCTACCTCTTGGTCGAATTAGACCTCGTCCTTCAGCCTTTGGGAAAGACCCTGGTCTAGGACGGACGTTCCAGGCCAGGTAGCAACACACCCCTGTTGTCCGTGTTTGCAACTTGGAATGAAGAAGCTGAGCAGATGGTGAAACCTAATAAAAATCTGGACATTTCAGATTGAAATAGGCATTCTATTAACGTGTGTAAACAGTAAGTGTGGGGGGGAAGGGGAGCTTTTTTAAAGCCATCTCTGGCCGGCGGTTGAGCAACTTGAAAACGAAAAGGCCCAGGCACTTGTCAGCAGGAGCAAGGAACAGTAATGGGTACAGGCCTTTCGCCGGACGACCGTGACGTCCGGGAGGATTACGCTCCAGTGTCATCCCAGCAATTGGATTTGCCGAACACATTCAGTGTATGTAGAGCGTGTGGCCCAGCTTTGCACAACAGTCATCAAACTGCGGCAGGGAAAGCGCCTTCAAACAGCATCTTTGTGGCATGTGAAGTGAGTCCCGCGGGATTATTTCAAGGAGCGCTACAGCAGCTAAACAGGAATCCTGTTTGTAATGTAACGGAAACGCGTAGCCGAGTGGATTATCAAACGCAGGCACGAGCGCTCTCCCAGCCTGCGCGGGGAGTTCAGCTGACTCACTCTCAGATCCACCCCTGAAAGGAGGAGAGAATTACTGTGCAGGCATCACAAGGGGAAGAATTGCCAAATTTTGCACCATCAGCTACAAGCTGGTGGGTGTGAGTGTAGCATCTTTATACAGCAGTCCTAGAGCCTGGCTGCTACTGCCCACAAAGTGTAGAGGCCCCTCTTGGTCCATGTGAGCCAGGGTGGAGAGGTCCACTACCGGGATACAGGCTGAACCTCTCTAGTCCAGAATACTGGTCCAGCAACCTCTGTGGTCTGGCATGATGTCAGTGAGCCAGAGGTCACTTATCATGGGGGTGGCCAAGTTTCCTGCAGGCCCATAAAGTTTGTTTCCAGCCCCCAGTCCTGGCTCTGTGCTGTTATTTGGCTCTAATTGACCCCTAAGGGTGTGTCTAGACTACAGGGTTTTTTCAAAAAAAGACTGCGCATGGGACTTGCTTTTGCTCGGCGAAGGTGCAGCTGTCTGTGCCAGCTGGCATGTAGGGTAACGCCCGCGTAAAGCACAAACATGCTGGTTTTCTAAGAATGACGGAGGCGCACGGCCTGGTTTCTAGCCCTGGCCGGGCTGTCCTGAGTAGGCACCTTGGTCATGCTCTTCCCCGCCGAGGCTGAGGACTTTTGGGGAGCCGCGCTGAACACTTACCTTGTGTTTCTTACACCACAGTTGTTTCACAAGGGGGCCGTGCTGGCAATGGGGCTGTCCCTGCGGCACATGTGTGGAGGGGCGTGTGCTGACCTTCCGGACCTCAGCCAGGTCTATACACATTTTAAACCCCTGCCGGGTCGTGTTTCATGTCACTGGCCAGGCCCACAGTTATCCTGTTTCCTTAGCCTCCAGGTGGCCCGTGTGCCACGGGGAGTTTGAGCGCAGAGGGCGTGTTCCCTGCTTACGGTTGGCACTGAATGGAGCCAGTAGGAGAGGGTAAGATGGGGGCGGTGAGGTCTACACAGCTTCCTGTTGGCTCAGCTGAGAGGCCGGCTGTTTCTGGGCCAGGCCTGGGCTGGGAATCTCGGCTGAGGTGCTGCTGCGCTCCCAGAGTCGTGTTCGCAGGGCGGCGGCTGGTGCCAATTCCGGCCGGGCGGCTGCTCCCCAGCATGGCCGGGAACGTTGTATTTCAAGTGAGGACTTAGCAGGCAGGCGGGGTGGGGACCCAGGCAAGCCAGTCCCAGATGGGGGCGGTACTGAGCAGGCATGTGGGAGGACAGAGGTTCGGCTGCCTTCGCCGCGGGGCCGTTGGCTGTTCCGGGGCTGGTCGCTCACTTGCCTTTTGCAATATTTTTGCAAGGGCCGATGTTTCTTCCAAGGCGAACAAACCCAAACTACAAACCCCCCGCTGTTCCGATGGCTGGGTTCTCCCCTTGCACTCCTCCCTGTAATCCTTGTTCTTTCCCTCCCCAGTAATGGGACTGGAGTGTGGGCGCCGGGCTGGGGCTGAGGAGGAGAGGTTTGGGGTGCAGGAGGGGGCTCTGGCTTGGGGGGGGGGTACGGGCTGCACCCGGGGGCGCTGACCTCGAC